AACCATATATTTGTTATCTGTTTTCAAAACCTGTTGATTCATGATTCTTGGATTATTTTCTTGTGGTTCTTTAGGTTGTTTGACTTTGTTTAAGGATAAACAATGTTTTAAGTTGGGGAGAGTTTGATGAGTGCTAAATTATTGTGAATTTGAGCGTGAATAATTAGCATTCATCGGTTTAATTCGTTTACTTTTTGTCAATAAACCTCAACTTTAGTATATATTCAATATCGTTTATGTTATAGTGTATATATTGTGTTATCGTGTAAATATCATTGAGTTTAATTGTTTTCATCTCATATTTTGTAGGTATTCAAGAATGGATATTTAGGCATTTTTAGATATATCATTGAATAAGATTTCCAATACTTCAAACCATGCGCAAATCAGAGTTACAGTTCTCAAGATATGGCCAAAACAAGTGATGAATTTTTCAATTTACTGTCAGGCTCTCCCCGAGCGAGAGACGACTAGAAGCGTGAAAAAAATGCATTTTTGAGTGTCGGGCAAATTGTTTTTCTCGCCGGACGAAAATGCCTGGGAAGAAACACATATTTAGGGGTAAATTTTTTTTTTTTAGGTTATGTTTTTGGGTATTTGTTCCCAATGCATCAACCAACATTTTTTTGGTCTTGAGAGCTTAGGAAAGAATCAATGGAGGTTTCAACTCGACGATCGGGGCTGGATGATTCTTGGATCGTGATTGACACTGTAAGAGATTTTGATTCCTTTTCTCTCTTCCCTTTGTAGTTTCCATTTGTTATGAGTTTGTATGTAAGTTTACCTTGATTATATGTATATTTATTGCTCATGGTGTTGTATGAAGCTCATTTTACAAATCAATTATGATGATTGATTTCTTTATTTGGGTTTAGGTTGTTGCAAAAATGGACGGTTTGAATCTAGATTTAAGATGCACATATATTGAGTTTTAATTCTAGAGATATATTAAGGATTACTATTCACTTGTGTATCAGAGCTTAATGCTTATGTGTTATTTGTGTTACGCTGAGAGATCGTCGGCGCGAGTAATAAGGTCATTGTCTCACTCTGTATTAGAGATAACTTCTGCGTGAGAGATATGTAATAATACCGACGAGTGATTTAGGTTGAGTACAATTGGGTAGTGAGTTTAAGTATTTGATAGGGTAGAGGAAATGAAAACTCGAGAGTTCTCTACTCTCCGAATAATGAATTCGTTTTCTGTTAATAACTTTAATTCTGTTAATTGGGCAAGATGTTGCGACATCTTGAACAACTGTTAATTGGGAAAGATGTTGTGACATCTTGAATAATTGTTATAGTAGATGTTGCTGCCTCAAGATATTGAGAAAGATATTGTGACATCTTTGCCAACTAATATAGCAGGAGCTGCTATTGTTTTCTTGACATATTTGATTTGATTTTGTGAGATTCTCTTGGATACATCTCACTTTTTTGCGTAGGTCAAGAAGATTTTATTTGGAACAATTAATTTTATATTCAGTTATACATTAGTTTCTAAAATTGGATGTTGAGACAATTTAAGAATATTATGGTGTTTTGTTCCAAGATTCAAGGATATTTTTCTGCATAATTGGTGCAGCCGTCAGCTTGTGGATCAAAAACAAATTGGGTGAATATTTCAAAGTCTGGACTGCTGAGGAGTTTATAAAATAAAAATCTAAACATAATGTTATTAACAACTTAACAAAAATAAGGGGAAGCTTGATATTCAAGAGTCTTAGGGTTTGGGAATCTTTTTTAAAATACTATGTTCTTGTGTATGTCACTCATGTATCATGTTGATACATAGAGTTTGACTGATTGTTCATTATTCATTGTCAATCACTCATGAGCTTTTAAGAAAAGAACGGATTGTGTGTAATTGGAAGTGTGATCTCCTGTTTTAGTCTTTTGTTATTGTCATTGAGGTAACTGTGGGAAGTGAGAAGGGATTCTCATATCTAGGAGGTTTCTAGGTAGAAGTTGCATAAGATAATGATTATGTGATAAGTTGTAAACTAGGGTTATTTAGCTTTGAACTAATACTATCATAGTAGATTTCCTTTCTGGCTTGAATGCCCCCAGAGTAGGTGATGTTGCACTGAACTGAGTTAACAATTGACTTTGTTTTTTTTACCTTTTGCAATTTACTTCTGCATAATTTATTGTTTGGTAAACGTATTTTGTCAGAAAATGATGTCTTAACATCTGTCTTTATATTGTGTTTTGGTGTTAGAACATCATTCTTAACATCTATTTGAAAGTGTCAGGATTTCACATAGCATATGTAAAGCCTTCTAAAAAATGGTCTTTGGTCCTCAAAACCTTCTAAAACAGGTTCAACATTCATCTTAACTGTTAACCCTGGATTATCTCTTTGAAGTTCATGATAGTAGTCATATATCCTAGTGTAATCCCATAAGGAAAGAACCACCAACCATATCCCTAACAATCACTCTTGCTATGATTGCTTTAGTCTTATTTACCCTTACATTCCACTTCCTCAAAGCCTTTTCTTTTATATCCTTTACCTTAATCCTTAGATTGTTTTTCAATGCATTCTAAATCCTCTTGCTCAACCACAGTGTACTTAGCATCTTCACATTATACTCCCTACTATAATCATGTTTGTCAATTACCTCCCTTAATTGCCAAGATTCCTCATTTGGTAATTTGGCAAAATATACCTCCCACTCATAACCATCCTTACATCCCACCCTCACCTTTTTCTTGTCATTTTTTTTTAACATTGAGGTCTCTACCATTTTGAACAACATATGAGGTTATTGCATCCTTAATGTCACTCTTTGAAGTAAAATACATTCTTACCTCCCATTTGTAATTGGACATATATTTTCTTGCTTTGAAAAATGGGTACTTCTTCCTTTTAACTCCATTACTGTCATCACTCTCACAACCACTTTGAAGATCATCACTGTCATTATCACTCCCCTTATATTATTTTGTATCTTCTCTACACTTTCCTTTTCCCCTTGCCTTTCCATCACTTTCTTATACAATGAGATCAACAAGTTCATTTTCACCAATCTCATCATACCCATCAGATTCATCTTCAAAGGCTACTTCTTGAGCACTATCATATTGATATCTCTCATCTCACTGTCATCAGAACTGTATTCATCATGCACCTCACCAATATTGCCTGCTTCCACTCGAACATTTGTTGATTACACTTCAACATTGTTTGATTCCACTACAACATGGGCTGATCCCACACCAATATTAGCACCACTCAATCCACCATTGTCACCTTCCACAACAACATTAGCATAATTCAATCAAGCATTGTCACCTTCCACAACAACATTAGCATCATTCAATCCATCATTGTCACCTTCCACAACAACATTAACATCATTCAATCCAACATTACCTTCTTCCATAACAACATTAACATCATTCGATCCAGCATTACCTTCTTCCACAAAAACATTAGACTCATTCAACTTATCCACAATGTCATCATGCAACTTATTAAGCAACTTCCACCTCATCTACAATGTTATCAGGCCCCTCATCAACATTATCAACAAGACCATCACAATACTCAGGTTGAGACAAAGTGTGTTGAATGTAGATATCAACACTTTGGTGCACCCTGTAAAGGCCTGCAGTGTCAAGAGCACCTTTGTCATCAACTAGGGCATTCATCACAAATTGTGGGTCCTTGTAATATATTTTATCAAAGTCTCCGTAACCTAACTCCTTCAATACACCAACTAACTCAAAATAACTCCACTTATCAACATCTAATATCAAATCATCTACCAACCCTCCTTCATACACACTAAGTTAAGGATCAACGAATTCACCACAATGGTGAATCTTGAGCTTCATAAATTTGTCCATTAATCCTAATCAAATAGTAATCGTCACCTAACACAGTTCCAAAACAAATATTCAAAGACCTAAATCTACCAAAAACCTAAATCTACAGAAAGCCCTAAATCTACCAAATACCTAAATCTACACAAAGCCCTAATCCAGTTACAAAAACATGCAGAGAATACTTACCTGGAATCGAAACTTTGTCTTCAGTCATCCCTTCAAACGCAGGTTGAGTCCTTCACAATCACCTTGCTTCGAAATCGCCTTCGCAGTCGCTTCCACAATCGCCTTCGTGTTCATGTATCAGACTTTGAGAAAATATATTATCCCTTCGTTTCGTTTTGAAGAAGATAGATGTGTTATCCCTTGGTTTCGTTTTCCATATGGACTCCACATATCCACTTCAACAAGTAAACTACCACTTGAAACCTGTTTTTGGACTTTGACTAACGGTTCACTAACGGAAGGACTACCGTGGTTATATTTTGAAAACTAAAGAACTAAAGTGACAAAAAAATTAAGGGACAAAAGTGAACTAGAGGGTATAATTAATGGACCAAAATGAATATTTTACTTTTTTTTTTAATATTAAATTTAAAGGTAGTACACGAATAATATAAACTAATATTACATATACGATCAATCAAAATCTTTATACTTATCATATCATATTAATATTTTAAAAATATAAATATATTTGAATTGAATACATGTCTCTGATTAATTAACTGTGTCATACAATAAAAATATATCATTAGAGAATATCATACAAATAATTTAAAATTTTTAATATAACTTAAGGGAATACATAGTTGTTAACAAATATTAAAATTAATTTACATCACGTATTTTCTCTTTATTTTAATTAACTAATCTTTAAAATATAAATCCGATAAAATTTGATTTTAAGAATTTTTTTATTTGGATCATACGAAGAGTCATCCCTTGTGAAGGATTAACAAAAATCGTAAAGGTGAAGTTGATTCACGGTTTAAGTTTCCGACAAAGACATCAATAGAGAGTGAACAATCGGTTCTGGTTCCATCCCGATGTTAAAAAGTGGTCGTGAAGCATTCTAGTAAAACTGGAACAGAACAACTTGATCAATTCAATCTCTGGATTACAATCTCTTGAGTGTTTTGGTTTTGGTGTTGTAGCCAATTCTCATGTCCACCACAATTTCTTCTCTCCCCTTCTCTCTCCCTATCCGCCACAATTCTAGGGTTTCTCGTTTCAATCCAATCTCTTCTACTATTCCATTCCAATCATTCACCACCGTTCCTACAAACGTAATCACTCTTTCACTCTTTCTCATGTTACTTTTTATTTGTTAATCTTACCTGAATCAATTTTTTGCTCCAGAAATGGAGAGTTTTGTGTTTTAAGCATGAAGACATTCCATCGGAAACTAATGGCTCTGAGTTCAAAGAAGATAAATTGTCCGAAGATTTTATCAAGTTTAAAGAGGATGATGAGTCCAAAGACTGGCTTGCTGCTCTCCATACGGTACTGCTTTCTTATGTTACCTCTAAATTTTCACATTCTTAAGCCGTCCCCATCTGTCATGTGGTTGTGTCTACTGGATCACCAATTTACATATCCTGCAATTTTCCAGACAAATTTTACATACCATTCTGATTTCATTCCACGGAACAGTCTGGAAAATCTGGAGTTGCCTTTGGGTTCATTCCCCTTTTCATATTAGTTCTGGAGAGGTCATTAATAACTTTAAAAAAATGAAATACTATTGACTTTTGGATATACGATAACTATTTATAACCGAGTTTCTAAAGTAATGTTAGTTAAATTGTCGATGTGCGACTTGCAAGTTTCCACTCAACCAATATGAAGTATAAAGGAAATTGCTGATGCGGGACTTGCAAGTTTTGCTCTCAAAACACATTTTTTTAAATAATAGTCTACTATTATATTTGAACGTATTACAAACCCAAATAGTCTTTGAGAGTTGCGAACCGCATACCCGAATTCATACCGTAGCAAATTCGAATTATGTGACTATGAGTAAGATTTTGTTAGGAATTAGGACATAGGGATAGTTAAGTAGTTAGACTTGGGTGGAGTATTTTTTTGTCAAATAAGATAAATGAAAAACATTTTGATTTGTAAAGATTGAGCGAATAGAACAGTGGTTCTATTCTATTATAGAAGGCGGGAAATTGCAAATCAAGCAAAGTCCAGAGACTGAGGTTCACGGACTGGTTGCAGCAATGAAGTTTCAACATACCTTTCACCACTGTCAGACACACTTAATTTGTAACCTGCATTTTCAATTTTCAGATGCAACCTTCAGGATAATATGACAGTTAAGTAGTTAAAGCAGAGTAGTCATTCCTGGATAGGCGATAGCGGCGCGGGGCAACCGACCCCAAAAGTGGGACAGCCTATAGCGTGATGACTGCTCTATTTGATAATTTTTTGGACAAATTACATATAATAATTATAAACATATATTTAATGTAAAATTAAACAAATAACTCAAGTCATAAAATATTCATAAATCAAAGTACACTTGACTCTTGAAGTGCATAAACGACCATGAAGGAAAGTTAATGTTGAGTCTCAACTCAAATTTGATTGAAAAACCTAAAATTACCCTTAAAACATTGTAAAGTTAAGGGGTAATTTTGGGTTTTTAGAGGGGAAAATAATAGTAGGTCAGAAACTCTGGGCCGGGAACCGCTCTGCCATGCTAATGCTATCCTGCTATTTTCTCTATAGCTGCTGCTAACTCTTTCCATAGCAGTCGGCCTGCGCTCCGCTCTGCTATAGCGGGATAGCACCGCTATAGTCCGTTATTGACTACTCTGAGCTAAAGGTGATAGTTTGTATGGATAGGAGATATATCAGTAGAGAATGACATTTAAATTCGCAAACATTGCACAAATAGATCAGTTTCTCATTTTTCTATAAAACTTTGTTCTTTTCCTAGGTTCTTAAACAGTTTTCAACCGTAAAGATAATATGGTCACAATCACACATTTTTGCTATTCTTATTTCAACATATAGTCTATGATGTTGAGGGGAAAAACAAGACTTGTATTCACAGTTGTGTGAGAATGAACGAAGAAGAATAACAGACAGCAGAGGAGACAGAGAATGAGAATATATGAAAGAGAACTGCTGTTTTAAAAATAGCTAAATAAAAAACGGTTTTTTTTTTTTGGTAATTAGCAATAGGCTCTAAAACTAATATATGTTTTTTTTATCATTATATTGAAACTAAATCAAGGACCTAAATTTTGATACTGGTTTCTTGCTTTAATGTATTAGCTCATTTCATTCTGCTTTTTCCAATTGGTTTGAATTATTATTAAAAGAAGTTATAACATTATTCGACCATCAAACGTTAATCTGCTTTTAACTCTTCATTGTCCACCTCTAATTCTGCAGATTAACAATGTAAACATTTTTTGTGTCTCGGGAATAGTAAAAATATTGTTTTTAACATTCCAGATCTTAAATTCCGTTTTTGGTGTGGAACCCTGGAAAGTACCTTGGACTGCAAAGACCATTGTTCAGGTAAAATGTATCATTTCTTATCATTGTATATCATTATCAATTGTCAATAATCAATGTTATCTGTCCTTCAAGCATGTTTGGTACTCTGGATTGGGGATTCATTCCTGTCTCCTCACCGTATAAATGATTATTCCTATGTTTCATGGGCTAAACCAAAAAAACATGAAATGGCCATTCCATTCAGCCTCTGATTACTCATGACTAAGAATGGCCCTGCCTCTTTCTATTGGAATGACGACAGGGTTCCTGACTTCCAAGAATGAGATCATTATACAGCCGTACCCTATAACCCGCTATGCTGCATAGGTACGGGTACGGTACCCGATGTGTGTACTGGTATCGGTACGAGATACGGCATTTAAAAAAAAATCAAGGTATTGTTACGTTAATAAAATAGAACAGTTTTCTATAAAATGTATGAGTAAAGAACTAAATTGTTAGGTTCACAACAAAACATCTTTGTAAAAAATAAAAAATAATGTTAAAGATACAATAACAAAGAAATTGAAATATATAAATATACTATATTAATTTAGAAAGCATAAATTTCACTCAAAATCACATAATGAGAAAAAATAAAGTACCACGAGTATGGTATGTGTACCCGGTACGGGTGCGTACTTGGTACCGGAACTTTACCATTTTAGAAGTACCCATGCTTCAGAGCCTGTTGGTGAAGTCCCCATGCTTCAGAGTCTCTTGGTGAAGGTTTGGGTCATGAGAGTGTGCTCCTCTCAACGTCTTATGCTCGAATCCCGCTAGATGCTAACAATCCTCGTGTTGGGTCAATCCATACAAAGTTTTGCTCTGGTTTTAAATGGCCCCCACGCTAGTGGACGGTGGGATTTGTCCCCTTGAATTAGTCAGTCGCAAAGTGAATACCAAGCTTTCTAAAAAAAATAAAATACAGCCTTATCCTATTTTCTTTCTGTTAAATGAATATGAGTCCCTTCGTCTTAGAGAGATAATGATTTAAGGTTAAAAATAACTGTTATATACATTTTACCAGTTTAAATAATAAAAATTACTAAAACTCCATAAATTAATCTCTCAGAAATTCATGTAAGGGGATTTTCTTGACAGAATGTTAGAAACATTTAAACAATCATAAAATAATGAATAATAACATCTTTTTGTTTTAAAATTCAAGTGAAAAATTGTAAAATAGTTACACTTGTTTAATAATTATAGTAGTTGTTTTGGTGGGGGTTATTGATGTCATAATTACAATTCTGTTCCTATTCCATGTACAAACATAGTTGTTTTTTTAATATGAAATCACAATGTTAGGAAGCAAACTAAATTGGGTTTTGCAGGTTATGCTCCTTTGGATTGCCTCATTCTGGTTGGTAGGTTCTTGGATAGTTCCATTTTTAGCTTACACAGCAGGTTTTAGGAAGGAAACTCTTTCATACAGAGGACAGGCATTGTACAGTCTCTTGACGGATGTTGCCGAAGGTGTGGTTGGGATAGCTATACTTCATCGTTGTCTTGCAAGGTTTAAACCACTCCCAGCTGACTGGTTCAGATTTGAACTCAAAGGGAACTGGCAGTTTGATGTCGGTTTAGGGTGCCTCATGTTCCCCCTCATCAATCATCTGTCACAAATGAACCTAAATTTATTGCCTGTTCTTCAATATCCTCCAGTTACAGTCTCGAGTGTAGAGCAATCAATTGTAGCACGAGACCCTGTGGCAATGGTCCTATATGCAGTGGTAGTTTCAGTTTGTGCCCCAATATGGGAGGAGATTGTCTTTCGTGCTTTCCTTCTCCCATCTTTAACGAGGTACATGCCTGTGTGGAGTGCAGTATTAGTTAGCTCAATAGCATTTGCGTTGGCACATTTTAACATTCAGAGGATGCTGCCCCTTGTATTTCTTGGCATGGTGATGGGTTCTGTATTTGTACGGTCTAAAAACCTCTTGCCATCAATGTTGTTGCATAGTTTGTGGAATGCTTTTGTATTTCTGGATCTCATGAAATAGTATATATTTTTGTTACTCTATCTGATCTTTTATTTTCAACTTTACACATGGACACAGGTACGATCATTTTCTTTTCCTCTCCTCTCTTCTCCCTTATGGACACGAGCTAGAAAAGGTGAGTAACTAAATCCTTTTCATCCAAAGTGAAAGCTTGAAAGTTTCAACTTTCAACGCCTATTAACATAATTCCGCGGTAAAATATCTCGGAAGTAGTATTCTGTGACATCTGAATAACGGAAAAAATACAGAGTTTGCATTATTTTAGCAGTACAGAATCGAATAATTGTTGATAACATCACAATTGTGAACATCTTTTCATCCAGGCCCCACATTAGATAGTTATAGAAAGAACGCATGTGGTTTGCTTCATACTTATAGCCACATTTTACGCGCTGATGAGCTGGTTGTCACGCATCTCAGTTTTGAAATTTATCTGCTAACTGTATTCTGTCAATTTCTACAAAAACAGCTTGAGTCTGTGTATTTGGGGTCCTTGGTGCTTGCAAGAACGGTGTAACATTCTTTTCAGACTTAGACTGTATTAATGAAAGTTGTATTTACATGCAAATACCTATTGTCTTAAATGGAGACATAAAAGTGGGGACCGATTGATTTCTAGTCATCTGCTATGCTGGCTTACTGAGTTTTGTCCCATGAAACTTTGTTCTTGTTACTTTATATCCTACCAACACAGGGTCCCTTGTCTGCCATTTTATGTTCTAAGAAAGTTGCTTAACAAAACCATTTCGTTCATTTTGGGATGACAATGACATAGCCTTTATATACATTTAATTTAGGGGGTATTTTTGTCTACAATGTCTCTTTTTCTCTGGATGCAAGGCGATTTAGAAATTTTTTCATTGAAAGCTATGTAGTTATGTGATTTTGGCTATTTCATTGAAAGCTATATAGTTATGTGATTTTGGTCTATTTTCACCATCATTTCTAAGTCTATAGGTGCTTCCCCAACTTTCATGAAAGCTATGTAGTTCTTTAGTATTATCATTTGTAATTTTATTTTGTCAGTTTTATTACACATCCAAATCGCCATCCCTATTATAGTTACTGTACTCACGTATTCTTAACCGTCTAACATTTTGTCTAGTATAATTTTACAACTATTTGATAAAGTTTTTTTCCTCAACGGGAACATTAGTTTTATGTAACATAAAATTTATGATGTATTCTGTTGGTTTTGTATTTTTAGAGTGCGAAAAAGAGGACAATTTTGTATAGGTTTTAGAGATTTGTCGGTCAATGTTGAAGGACCAAGAAGATATGTCGAAAGTCATTGTTACCGGCTGCGATACCGCATTGATGAATTCGGTTGCAACGGTATTTCTGACTTCTTATGGATTACTTTGTAGGTATTACATTACTAATAATGTGAGAAGTCGGGTTGGGACGAAGTAGATAGAGAAGATGGTAAATTGGTAAAGGCGTGCGTTATTGTGGAGAAAATTATGGATGCATGGAATGTTATAATAAATACATCTACAAAAGATCTATATGCTGATGCAGTTATACATTTCAGGAAGGTGTGCATGAAATATCTCAATTTAGTGAAATATGTTGAAAACACAATTTTGGATCAGGTAAAGGAGAAAATTGTTTGTGCTTGGACCGACCAGGTGATGTATCTTGGAAATACAACAACAAACTGAGTCGAGTCGACTCATGCTTGTCTGAAGAATTGGTGACACTCAGAAAATTGTGAAGATCGAGTACCGCTCGCCATCCATTGACAACAAAGGGAAGTTTGAGTTCATCAACCATGAGTAAAGACGATAGCTGATTTACGGGCTATGTGAAGCACCTTTTTTCATTTAGAAGCAAAAGTTTCGCTCGAACTGGTTGCGACTATTGCGAGATCGGTCGATGATATTATCAAGATGTTGCAACGTCCACCTGGCCGTTGAAGTGTAACGTTGGAATTATGTTACATTTCTAATGTATTGCTTATGTTATGATATCAATGTTTGAATTATGGTATTTCGAGTTTGTGAATTTTGTGGATTTCAATTCAGTTTTTATGGTTTTTATGGAACACAATATCAGAAATGCAACTGCGGTATCCAACGTAAATATAACTCCGGAAATAGTCTATGTTTTATCACCTCTAGGTGCGTCCCGGAAATGTATTTCCGATTTTCAAGGTATTTATGTATTTTCGCGTGGTGCGCTAGAAAAACATAGGGTGGATTAATAAATCCCTTTTATTTAATATGTGGCACTACCTTTTTATCCGTCTACTAAATTTCTTGTAAGCACATGAAATTGATTTTCCTCCTAACCACCATGTCCACTTAGGGGTGACAAAGCGGGCGGTCCGTTTCATTTAGGTCTTCCCCGTTTAAGCCGGTCCAAAAGCAGGGCGGGGCGGGCCAACATAGGGGTTCGAGCTCAAAAGTCAAGCCCAACCCATTTATTAACGAGTTGGCGGGCTGACCCGCCAATTTTTTATTTTTATTAATTTTACAATTTGATTTAATCATAATTTAGAAATTTATTTATTATTACTAAAGAGGTCGATAAAGAAATTTTTTTAACAATACATAATAGAACTTCAAGATGTCTTAAGTTCAAACAATTCAAAAAAATGAATAAATAAAGATCAATTACAAAAAAATAAAATAAATAAACTCAAGAACAATAAAAAAATATCAAAATAAATAAACAATACATATCATCTTAATCCTATTTAAAAACTAACTACTAAAAGAACCTAACTTAGAATTTACACAAAATCAATAATGATAACAATAACATTGCATAAAATATCACAATGCATAAAATAGTAATGCGTAAAATATCAACACCGAATTCTCACTGTTTACATTATATAGACTCTTATTGACCGATTCTTTAATAATTAAATCCTAATTTTGTCACACGTATACACTAATCAAATCCTTCATTTTCTTAAAATGAACATCTATTTCTAAAGAAAATATCTGAATTAATATATTGAAAACTTAAAAATTATACATGTCATACATTTGTTATTTTATTTCAATCAACACATGTATTAGAAAGTTATAGAAAAAACGTTACAATTATAATTCAATTTGTCTATATAATAATTTATAATACAATCCGATCTGACCTGATCAGAAATGGACCGTCACGGCTGGCTCCGAGCAGAAAGCTTTTTTGAACGAGGTGGGGGGGGGGGGTACCTGCAAGGCACTCCGATGCTGAAGTAAGTAGGAGTACGAGCAGATAATAGCAAGTTTAAGGTTAGAATGATGAATACCTGACCCTCTGGAAGCAGAGGGTATTTATAGCCCCCAGCGCTGGGCCAAGGTTCCTTCATTGGGCCGGGCAGGTTTGGCCCAATGGAGGAACTGCCAGGTTCTACGTGCGTAGTGGGGACCCGCACGTGGTCCCCTTCCTGGATGTTCTGCGTGAAGAACGGACGGACGAAGATGCGGTCTTTTCGGAGTATCGTTGGGGAATAGTGGATTGAGTCTGCCATAGCCGGGGTGCTCGATGTAGCGTCGAGCTGGACCTCAGAATGTGGTGCTGGACCATCTCATGTCGAGCTGGAGGTGTCGAGCCAGCGACTGCGCGTCGGGCACGGTCTCACTCTTTGGTCGACGTGTCCCTTGTAAGTCCATTTGGACTGGGCCTTTGCAATGCTTTTGGGCCTGTCGGGCCCAGTCCAGAACAGGAGCCCCCCAAGTCGTGGTTCCTTTGTGAGGAGCCATGACTTGAACTCAGGTCGCTTCCTCATCGAGGTCTCGTGCCCGGGACAGAGGTGTGGGGCCTCGAGGGCCTCCTCGTGTCGTGCTTGGGGACATCTTCCGCGGTGGATGCCCGGAGGATCCTTACCGGGCGCATCTGTTGAGCATGCTAGGTATCTTTCGGGAACTGTGCCGCCACCCTATGGGAATAGGGTCATCATTGCGTTGGGAGCAGTGCGTCGAGGAGAGGGTGTCCGTGGTTGCCCGAGGTGACGTTTGGTATTCCACGTCATCACTATAAATAGGAACCTTGGGACCCATAACACGTTTCTATTCTCCGCGCTCTCTCTGCTGCTGCTCTTCCAGATTTTTTCCAGTTGCGACTTTCTGTCACAGATTCTTCTGCTCCGTAGCCAAATCCTACTCTTTGATTCAAGTAAGTGGTCCATCTTCTTCATTTTCTTGTTAGAATGCATGATTTTTGGCGTTTGTAGATGTTTTAGGGCCGTGCGCGTGGGATTAGCCCGGTAAACTCATACATAGCCCGACGTATTCATGCCTAGGGACGGCAGACGCATGTTTGTGGCCGGCGTATTCATAGTTTTAGGTGATAAACTCCAGCGCTGCCCGGGGTCTTCATGATCCAGGGCGCCTGATGCATGATCGCGCCCGACATGTTCATGGCCTTGGCCGTGGGCCTCATGGTGTGGCCCGCCATGTTCATACCTTGGGTCGACATGTTGGAGAGTGACCGCGTAGTTTGTTTTGAGGAAGAACACACCGAGTTTCAGGATGTCGGGGAGGCAACCATTCGTGGAAACGGACTACGTGGTCGTGAATGAAACGACGTGATTTGTCGAGCGTATGGCTTCGTGCTCATTTGACTGGTTTTCCGTGCCCTGCAGGTAACCATGGCGGACGAGCCGAGCTCCTCCGGACGTCACGATCGCGAAGAACAAAGCGCCGACGAGTCGGTCAACCTAATTGATACTGTGACCGACCCTGCGCTGGATTGGGTGGGCGTCGAGCCCCGAGGGATCGCGTCGGTCTACAGTCGAGGCGACCGGGATCCTTATGCTGTCATTGAAGCGGGCCAGGGCCAGCCCGACTTCCAAAAGAACTTCGTAGTCATGCGCCCGTCATCCCGTGCAAGGATCTGCTCGGTTTATCCGGAATACAGCTTCGCGATGTATGAGATCGCGTTCAAAGATCTAGGGCTGCGGCTGCCCTTCACTGACTTCCAGGCCGGGGTCTTCACTCACCTGGAGCTGGCCCCGTCCCAGCTACATCCAAACTCTCTCGCCTTCATCCGGG